ATCTCGGAATCTCTAGAAATTTAAGATTTTCCAACAAATACAACATTTAAACTGATTTTTGAGAAGGCAATAAAGAGTGAGAGATGGAACCAATAAGGGATTGTAATTTTTTCTTCTTCTGCTGCTTGCTATCTTCTTTTATGAAAATAAAGGCTACTAGCTGTTAAGGACAAATATTTTAGTTTGATGGAGTCCTCTTGTGCTTAGATCAATAATCAGTAGTCAGTACTCAGTACTAGATTATGGGGGCAAGACTTCATGACACAATAAGTGGATGTATGAGCTACTTCAAAAACAAGAACCATATGATTGATGTGTTTTGAACTATGTAATTATTTTCTGGAGAGATAAGTTAGAATAGAGAAAGATACCTCCTCATATAGGACCCTTATCCTCTTATTGAATTTTCCTCAATATGCATTTCTCATGCTTGGAATCACCAACGTGTGTGTGTTTATGCATGGCTACTTTTACTTCACTAAAAAAGTGTTAACAACACACTTTCTAACACACTCCTTTTAATAAATCTATTTTTATTGGTTAAAAATTATTACAAACTACAAAATCACGAGAGTCATTAAATGAGATGTAAGACTTACCAAATTTTATATTTTTCAATAAATTTCAACCAATTAAATAATGTGTTTAAAAAAGTGTGGAGTGTATTGTTAGAATTTCTCTTCTTCATTATACAAATAGTTATGGGATCAGAAGTGAATGTCTTTCTAATTCTCTATATACAGCAGCCATGGTTTTAATTTGTGAAAATTGCAAGCAAATGTGGCTAATGTAACCTGGCAAACTGCAATATATTATGTTCTTTTGAGTTGTCCTTTGATTAAAATTCCACAGTTCTGACATTGGGTAAATAACGATATTTTTATTCATAGATGCTAACACTTGTATAATATCTCACACTCAGGCAAAATGCCACAGCTACAAGGCTGCCTATTATACTATTCTCGACCTCTTGCTAATAGCAGGGCCGGTATATTCTGACAATGATGAAAATGAGTATGACCCTAATGAAGAAAATTTCCTATATAGTAGTAGGATTTTTACAATATACATACTTTACCTAGGTGGCTAAGCATTTTGATTAACATAAATCATGATCTGTCTGAATTCGATTGTTTGTGGGCTTCCCAATCTGAAGACAATCAATTGGTGGGAGTGTTGGAGTTTTTAATTCACCATAAGTCTGCCAGCAGAAAGGATTGTATAGATGGTATTTTTCTTGAATTGGTTTTAACTCAACTGTGGTTAAAGAAACATCCACACAAGGTAAGCTATCACTGCAGGCAAAGTGAACTGGCTTAACTATGTAAGTCCCCCTTATCCTTTCATAGTTGATTCCAGCAAGAGACACAGCTGATGTTTGGTTTTTGCAATTTCTTTTATCGCAGTAGAATTGATCAATCACAATTGGGTATTCAACTTCAGAAACTTGTATATTTGAGAATAGTACTCCTTGCACTGAGCCAGATCCACCCTGCAGATATGCATGTTATGTTACTTAGTTAGCAACAGATCATAATTTCCCATCAAGATCTAATGTTGGAAATGATGGGAGCACTTGGATTCAATGAGAACTTTCCCACATTTGGTTCAATCATATTTAGCATTGATAACACACAAATATTTAATTAATTTGATTGGATTGTTGGCTACAAGAAAATACAATTTTACTACATGTTATGTTAGTTATAGAGTAGCTATTCAGTTTGGCAATTTCTCAGTACCTGAAAATTTATGTAGAAAGAAGTTTAAGGTTTAAAATTGATTTCTGATATATTGTGCTCCAAGATGTTTCACGACCAATTCAGTTAACAGATCACTGAAGTCATTGTGATGGCTAATTTAAAATAATAATGTTTTGATACTTTATCAATCTTGTAACCTTGAAAATGGGAAATAGTAATACATTACAATTACATGAGTCATTTTACCTGCCATGTTTTGATTCTGACACCATTCATTGTGTTGTGCATGTTGACATCCCTGACAGTAATGTTTGAAACACAGGCTCTGGTATTATCCTTTCCAAGACTTCCAATGCTGATTCCATGCCCTGGTCCACAGTTGACATTGTGTACATACACGTTTGAACATCCAGTTTGTATTGAAATACAGTCATCTCCTGCACAACATTTAAAATTTAAATAACACACATAACTTGGACCATTTATGTCAGTAAGTTTACATAGTTTGTTTTACTTTTGTTTTTGTCCATTAGCAACCAGCCCCCTCCCAAAGTTTTTTATGGACCACTGGATGTGCTATTTTCATCCAGCCTCAGTTGTAAAGGACTAACAGAATTCTATTTTCAAATAAGACAAGAGTAATTGAAGAAATACAAAAAACAAAGGCTAGTTTGTGGACTAACAGAGTACTATACAATTGGATGATGCAGTGTGCATTTTGCTCTCGACACGTGTCGTGTAGCTCATGACTAGCAGGCATTGGAACTTTTTTTTTGTTGCTATGTGCTGTGTCCAACATGGTTGTGGATAGGATAAGATAATGTCATGCTCTTTTAGGAATCATAGAACATGCATAGAACTTTGTATGTTAGTTTTCTTCTTTTGTCTAGAGTTTTCATCTTCATTGTAACTTTTGTCCCTTTACATTGCCTTGTGAGTTGTGACTATTCAAATGAAACGGAAATGTTCTATAATAACTTAAAGAATTATTACCACAGGCCATGCTGCTGCCATATATCAACACATCTTTGGAGTTCTGAAGGTGAATTCCATCAGTGTTGGGACTGTTCCCAGGAGATGATATGCTAACATCATGGACCAGGACCCCATTACAGTTGTCAAATTTGAGGTGGCATTGTGGACTATTTTGAATTGTTATTCCTGTAACTGTTGGATTAAAACTCCCATAGAATCTCAGTGCCTGTGAATGCATAAAAATAAAAAACCTTCATTATGTTCCAATAATAACTCCAAAACATGAATCAAATTGGCTTTGTAAAAGGTATAAAATGGTTCTCACAGTTGGCTTCACGAATGGCATTTTTCCTCCAAGCTCATTTTCAATCTAGTACAATCACATGGGTTTAAAAATAATTAGTCTCATATAAGTAAAAGAATTGCTAAGTCAGACCTTAAATAAGAAATGCTAGCAATTTCCACTCTTTTAAACAGGTCAAAATTCATTGAAAAAATACAAAATTTGATGAGTCTAACATTCTATTTAATGACTCTATTTTGATTTTGTAGTTTTCAATAAATTTTAACCAATAAAACTAGATGTGGTTAAGAAGAAAATTTTATTACTATGAAACAATAAATAAATAAAGCACCAATCTATACAATATTTTTAACACATTTTTTATTATTGATTAAAATTTTTGTGATTTTTAAAAGAGTATGTTGGTAAAATTTCTGAAGAAAATTACAATTACCGGCAGTGGGGGACTTGCTACTGTTTGGTTGAAAGGAACGTAGAGATATTCTTGATCATCATCAGGATCATTATATGGATTGTCTTGCCACCACACTGAGCCTCTTCCATCAATGATGCCTTTTCCTTGAATGGTAATTCCCACCAACTTGGTAAATTCCAACCACTGAAGTAGCCCTTTGCCCCAAGCATTGGGGCTTGTTGGTGCAACAATGGTGCCATCAAGCTGACATAATACAACCTTATTAACATCACTTCAACTGCATTGTCGGTTGCTACAGTATGCGTAATATAATGGACACGGACAATCACGTGTCTAGGTAAATATATGTTATGTGAGAATATGCAGAATAATAGCAAGAGCTAGTTTATTTTTATTTTATGGTGGTGTGGTTGTGGAGAGATTGTAATTGGTCACGTAATCATGTCGCTTATGATAAATTTATTTAAGCATAATTTTTCCATCATATGTACGATTTCTTGATTAAAGATTAATTGTCTTTTATCATTGGGCACTTTTAAGTGGCTTTTTGCCTTTTTATTGTTTTTTTTTTCTTTGTCCATCATTACATATGAATTTCACTTAAATAATTACAAAATTTGCACAACTCACTTAATCGCTTACTTAATTTCATTTATTTAGTTAACTAAATATAAATTTTTATAAAATTATACATATTGCATCAATTATCATATATTTTCGAAAATTCATCGCCATATGTTAATTTGTCCACCAAAAAAATGTACACAACTCTCCTGGAAATTATTTAATTTATCAAATTATTTTTCTTGAAAATGATATATGTTATTTTAATTTCTTTTGTTTTATTTTAAATGAATTACTTATATTCTCTTTATTATATTGTAAATATTTATATTTAAAAAAATGTAACTAAATTTAAAATTATTCATACGAAAATGAAAGACATGTGTTCTGTCTTTACCAGCATGACAGAAATTTGGACGTTATTTTCTTATGCCAAATCGCATTTGGCTTATGAGTTATGACACAATTGTGGGGTACAATGTTATTTATTTAGTTTTTGTTTTTCGCTTTTTTATTTTAATTTATAATTTATAATTTATTTATTGCTGTTATTTTCTCTCTTTGCTCATTCCTGC